ACTTAATTTTCCATTTCCTTTGATATTTGAATAGGTGTCAGCTGGCTTGTTCTTGGCTGCATTAGTTTTGTTTGCTAGTTTTATTGGATTTATTACTTTCAATGCTTTCTTGTCAGTTACAAACTGTTTAGCCTCTTGGGAACCTTTTAGTGTTACAACGGCCATAGCTTCTTCTAGAAATATGATATTAGCAATCCGTGAAATGGTCCAGAAAATAGACTTCCGTAGCATTCAAGCATACAAGGCTCATTCTCTAATTCATTCTGAGCTGTCCGAAACTTGCTTCCAAAGTCAGCTGACGTGCATAGGCAGTTTTGATGAATTTGTTACTTAAAATCCCACTTGTGCTATTATTCTTTTCTTTGCTTGACAAATCCTACAAAACACAAAAAGAAAGTAAATAGCTCAAAAATATAAGGAACTAACGAAGAAAAGACAAATGAATTTGATGTAAAATATATATAAATATGAGCTTATCATGTGTGATGAGGAGAAAGATTTAAATTTATCTCTTTTGCTAAAATGGCATGATAATGAACATAAAATCATAGATGCCACGTGGACAGAGGATTTTAAATTACAAAAACTTGTAGGAGTTGTTATTAGCATTTTAAAAAGGTAGAACTCTTCGAAATGTACATTTCTTTTCATGGTGGATAGAGGGAGGGCATGTAACTGGTGGATAGCGGTGGTTGTTAGAGTTTTCTTCTTAACCCACTGCGACTAGGGATGGTCAATGAGTATCTATTCACTTACATAGAGGTCCATTTAATGTAGATACGTGTTAATTGTAGTGCTGAGTGATGAATGTGATATTGGAGTATCCATGGGCACACATCGATCATCTCTACACTGTTAGTTTAAACTCTCCTTCTCTTAATGTAGCTTAGATTAAGTATATTATGTTTAAAAAAAAAAAAACAAAAACGTGGAACAAGATAGCTTTCAAGTGTCAATAATAGCTCTATATTCATTAAAAAGTTTGTTTTGGACAGTTTGTATGATGATCATAAAGCTCTTTGTTTTCTTATGTTTGGAATTTTTTTTTTTTTTTTTTGGGTGGTTCTTGACTGCATGATTTGTTTTGGTTTTTATTTTGACAATAATCAATTTCAACGGTTCATGGGAAAAAAACGTAAGGACCAGCATGATATTTTTTACCTGCTGGCCCAAGTCATTTTATTTATTTATTTATTTAATAATAATAATAATAATAATAATAATAATAATTATTATTATTATTATTATTATAATAGTGATAATAATAATAATAATCTAAATTACATATTAATAGAATGCTCTTTATAAATAAATAAAGGGTTAAAAGATTATTTAGTCTTCTATCACAAAAAAATAAAATAAAAATAAAGATAGTAACGTAATTTCATAAAACAAAATTTTTTCTATTTTTCATCTACAGGTGATTTTAACATCTCCAAATAAAAAATAAAAATAAAATTAAACCTCTCCCTCCCTCTCTAGTCTTTTTCACCCTCTTCTGCTCTCCTTTCAATAAATAAAAAAAAGAAAAAAAGAAAAAAAAAAACTACTTCAGACACATTTTGTGTGTGGGCATATACTAGTAATAATAATACATATCATTCTCATCAACTACAATAATTTCAATCTTGGCTTTTTAGCTAGAATGGTCATTGAGATTGACATATAATTCCTCACTTTGGTCATTGAGATTGAAAATCGATCGAAGTGGTCCTTGAGTTTATCTATTGTAAATCATTTTGGTCATTATGTGAAAAATCCGTCAATACCATCGTTAAATTGTTACGTGGGCATTCATGTGAACACATTTTAAGGATATTTTTGTCAAACCAACCCCTTTTAGCCAAAATGGTCCCTGAGATTAGCATAACTTCTCATTTTAATCCCTGAAAATGAAAATCAATAAAAATTGTCCTAAGTTTGTACATCTTAAATTATTTTGATCATTTCATAAAAAATTTGTCAATATCCTCGTCAAATTGTCATGAGGATATCCTTGTTAAATTATCACGAGAATAATTTGGTGGAGTTTCACCATGTTCACTTAACGAGAATATTTTGGTGGAGTTTCACCACCTTCACATTTTGACAAGTAAACACAGCCAAAATGCTACTAGACCTCTAAGAATGAGTATTCAATAGTTCAAACGCTTATTGCATCTCATTTGTACACATTTTTATATGATGAGTGTTCTAGCCACTTATTGGGTCATATTTTGTTGGAGTTTCTCCATCTTCTCCATCTTCACGGAATGACCAAAATGATTTATGGATATACTTAGAAAGGACTTTATAATTTTCATTGTTAGGGACAAAAGTGAGGAGTTATGTCAATCTCAGGGACTATGTGGCTAAAAAGTAGGGGATGATTTGAAAAAAATACCTTTTAAAATGTGGTCACGTGATTGTTCACGTAATAATTTAACGATTATCTTGTAGATTTTTATTTGAAGGACAAAAATAATGCCACTTGCATATTAATTAAGGGGTGCATAGCTTAGGGGCTACCCATTGAGTTAGGAAGGCCTGTAGGACTCAACACAAAATTCAAACGTACGGAACTTGTATGATACTCCTGGAACAACAATGTGAAAATTAGTTGTATTTTGTCTCTTTGTTGGGCGGTAAAATCCAACTCCATATTCGACATTCGAAACAATAAAAAATTTACCGTATTGTTGACGTTGGACGCGCATTCATATAAAAACAAATCTGATTTTTGTATCAGCGTTTTACGAATAATAAGCCACTACAAATACGAAACACATTATAACAAAATTCCAGAATCACACATTAAGAAACAAAGTGCTCCTAGTATTAGGATGGAGATAACACATTACGGAATAGATATTCCTTGACAGCAAGTGACCTTTTATTACAATAATGAAGTTGACTATTACCCTTACACCACGATATGAGTTCGAATTTTGTTGACTTCTTAATTTAATATCTAATTTAACAAACTATATTTTTACTAACGAAAAAAAAATAATAATAAATAAAAAATTCGTTGACCGGTTGCAAGTTAAACCAAAGATTTCATCTCCTCCTTCCATTTTAACCTAACCGTGCTTATTGAAGTGTGTATTTAGTGATGTGAATAAAAGAAAACTTGGTAACACATGGCCCACGTATTTGCGCGCCAGTTTCATCCGTTCCCACGTGGCAAACGCTGAGCCGCCCACCGCAACCGTCACTCAACAAAATCCCGCTACCAAAACCAAGGAAGATGAGAACCTCCTCGGAGTCGAGGTTGCGCTGAAGCCATGGCGACCCGCCTTGGGCGACGAACGGTAGCTGCGTTGTCGTCTCAGATTCGGAGGTCAACGGCCCACGATTCGTCTCTTACCGCGATCAGCGTCGGCCATGGTGGGTCCCAACCCAGACTGTGGTCTTCATCATCGTCTAGTAAATCTGATAAGGCGGAGAAGAAGAAGCCGGTAGGAGACCGCCTATCGGCGGTAATAGACGCCGTTAACGACAGTAAACTTCCTCCTGAGCTCCGTGGTCGGCGCAACAACATCAGGTTCAAATCCCCAGTTTTAATTTGACCATACTATGATTCTGTTTGCCCACTTTGATTTGATTCGGTAGTTCAAGTTTAGTAGTTTACTCGGATGTTTGATAACCATTTTATTTTCAGTTTTCAGATTTTGTTTTCACAATTTATGTGTTCAAGAATTGAAAACTAACAATTGAGTACTACAGTATTCATCTTCACTTATAAGTCTTATAAGTCTTGATCTTAGATTTGAATTTCGTAGATAGTGAATTAAATACCAAATTAAGTTGCTCACTCTGGGGCTTATCCGAACTCTTCCTCCTTTTAGTGTAAAATATGTCATGTTCAAAAATAAAAAACAACTGAAATGGTTATCAAACGGACGCTAAACATCTCATGACTTAATTTGTTACTGATTTAGCATTTGATAATTATGTGTATGGTGTTTCTTCAACTACGAGAACCACTTACCTGTATTCACAATAAGAACAGCACTTACCCTATGTTACTTATGTGCTAATTTTATTGCCCTTAGATTACAAGCAGTTCATAAACTACATGACTTAAATCGCGACAATTGAAACTACACGTTTCAAAATTTGAAACTTGGCCGAAGCGCAGGCCTACAACGATGATTTGGCTTTTCATTAGATTTGGGTTTTTGAATGTTGGATTATTATTGTTATTTAAATTATGATAATTTTGAATTTGGGATGCTGTGGCAGGTCAGAAACAGATATAATCAATGTGGTGGAGCAAAGAATATGGCATTCTATGGAAGAAGGGCAGTTTGAGAATTTGCCGGGAAAAGGGAAGCCCCTAAACCTAAGTTCAAATCCTCATGCGGACCCAGCTGAGGACACTTTGTACCGAATCCTCTCGAAGAATGGCTGCGCGCCACAGTGGGTTGAGCTCAACAAAGAGATAAGGAGCCAGGTTTCGGAATGGAGAATTGCTCTGAAGAAGGCTTGCGCAAGCAAAAATTGCAACGGGGGCGGGGGTGATCAATCGAAATGGGTTGAAGCTTCAGAGGCTTTGAAATTGCAAGTGAAACAGATCAATAATAAGGTACTGCAGTATAATCTTATGGCTCCTTTCGGCCGTCAAATGTTTGGACTCAACTGGGACAAGGAGCTGGATCGTTTGAAATCGGAGGAACAATAATCCCTGATAGGAGTAGCCGAAATTGAAGATAAGATGAGGGAAATTCGGTAAGATGGTTGGACATGTGAAATGAATACCTATAGATGCTCCGGTAGTTGTATTTGTTTTGGTTCAGGTTAAGTAGCTTCATGTATTGGTATTAGTAGCATAGGAAACCAGATGGTGCTGTAAAAGTTTAAATTGTGCTTGGTTTATCGAATGTTAAAATTCTGGATTTTGATTCGCGATCGCGTGTTTCTTTTGATTCGAATGTGGAATCTGATTCCAAATAATTTCAATACTCAATCTAGGTAAGTAAACATCGTACCAAGAACGGGACTTTAAAATGGTAATCTTCGATCGAAGTTTAAAAGCCTTCATATCCAAATGGGAAAACAACAATGTTTATACATAAAATTACCATCAAAACTGAATATTAATGTTATACACGCATAAGCAACCAGCCAAAGTACTTTTTTCGACCATTTGAATTTTCAATTAAATTATCCACTAAAATGTATACATCATGTTATGGTAATATGTTCATCCTACCGAAGATGTTTTTGCTGCGAGATGAACAAGCGCTCGCTTGTGGTAAGTGGTACGAAGCTTCTTGTATTTCTCCACAAAAGCCCCGAGATCAACCTCCTTGTCGACAAGCTGCTCGTGCAGAGCTTCTGATTCCTCCTCTGTCGTATTCATCGATTCTGCACGAACGAACAAAATTTTCATGTACCAACAAATTGATTGTGATTCATGTCATATATTGCTTGGCAAGAACGAATCCTGAGTTACTGTACAATTTCATATTATCATTACTTCATACCTTGAAGCCTTTGAAGAAGAGAAGACGGGGAACACAGCTTCAACGTTTCTTCTTTCTTTCTCTCGAGCTCATTTAGCCTCTCCTGAGCGGCAGCCAACTCTGTTGTTCTAATTATTCTGCACTGTGACCACAAAAGAAATGGGAAAGAGAGATCCACGATCACAACAACAATTTTGCAACAAGCGCGAGAAACAAGACAACGGTGAAAGCTTACCTGGTTTCTAAGTTCCACCATCTGTGGTTCTTTTTCCAAGTTTTCCCCTGTTTGATAAAAATAAATTTATACTTTGTCTTCCCATGTATAATAAAACAGCAGGAGACAGCTATATTTAAAATAGTAGGTCAGAAAACGAAACAGAGAACTCACTGGATAACTGCAGAGTTTCCCTCCGTAGCTCCTCTCTTAGCTGATGAGGTCAGTAGAAGAAACAATAAAGAACAGAATAAAGACATGTCCTGAAACTGACAGCATTCGAACAAACTATGGAAGCCTTTAAGGAAAGGGATCCCCATTTTTTAATGAAAAATCGGGATTAGTTGTGGGGTCCACATCACTTTGAACTTTAACAACCAAACCACCTATTTTTCAAATTGCACCTCATAGATCATCCTTGCAAAATATTAGCCAAATCACAAATATTTGGGGCATCTAATTGAATTCAAAGAAATTGACGAACACTTTGTTCTAAGAAAACATTGAAATTTCATTGTCATAATTAAATAGGCAACTGGTTTCGGATTGAATTGAAATTTTGCAAGGATGATCTATGAATCGAGACTTACAAAATAGATTGTTCGGATCGTTGACGTTTGATGTGTAGTGGGTCCCACAACTAATCCCTATTTTTATTCAAAAAATGGGGATCCCTTCCCTTAAAGGGCCTAATCTAAGTATGATTATCGCTTTGCCCAAATCAAGATAGCCATTACAGTTCATAAAGTGCTTTTCTAAATAAAAAGGTAAGTGTTGATTATACTGAGAACAATGGGGTGTGTGCAGAAGCATTTGAACCTTAAACAGAAAGGGTACAACACCAAAAGTTAACTAAAACTTACATTATTTTGAATTTTGACCTGATCAAGTGAAAGAAAAAATTGCTGGTATGCATTCTTGTCAGACAAAAGCTTCCGTAGGTCCTCAACACTGAACACATCAATAGGAAAACATAATAATTAGTTACTGATTACTCCACAAAGATGAGATAAGAATTAGATATGATCTGAGAGAGTTACATCCGTATTCGAGATTAAGCAAAACAAACTCACTCACTGAACAACATTTTTCATTTAACAATTATGGTCTTTCAAAGACTGATTAAAATAATGATTGTGTAAACAAATCCTATCATGATACGTAAAACCTAATCTCTGAACTCCTTTTCAACATTCTTCAGTCCACCAAAACGTTCCAAGCTTTGTTTTTAAAAGAACAAGTTCAACAAAACTACCAACTACATTAGACAAACACTTAGTACAGTTAAATTTCACACACAAACATCTCCAGATATCAATGTACAATCTGAAACAAAAAAATTGACAAGTTGATATGCAACAACACATTAATTAGGTGGGCCAAGATCACTGTTGATCAGCTCCGAAACAGAAAAACCATAATTATTCTATAAACATCAGATTTTGGTAGCACCATGATCCTTACCTCTTGTCCTTCAAAACAGTAATAACACCGGCAGCTTCGGCCGGCGAAACATGTAACGGAGATTGTGCCCTTTCTGTTGGCCTTTGGTAACTCATACTGCTAGATGAGGTGCTGCTCGGCGTCCCAGGGCGAGAAGAGGTCGGAGAGTTAACTACAGATGGAGGGTACCATGACTGTGAAGGAGTAACAACCTCCGGTCGCGGCTGAGTGGGCTCCTCCTGAGATCCCCTGTGGACGTACACACGCTTAGAAATTTAGACTTCAGCCTCTCCCGTAATTCACCCAAACTCCATAAAAATAATTTGCAGAAACAAAAATCAACCCAATTTCCACAAATGATTTCGCAAATCGATTCAATTAACAAAACCCATCAATTCGCAGAACAAATTGGACATTTTAACACCGACCCATTAACGAAAACGACAAAAAAATCAATCTCCAGAATCGGAATTCAACCCTTGGACTAACGGAACTACGGTTCAAAATTAAAACCCTAAATTACACCCAGAGGAGAGAAATTACCAGAACTTGAACATGGACATGGCTTTGGGGGGAGCTTGTGCAAGGAATCGAATCGACGGGAAGATTGAACTGTACGGATGACGGCGAAGTTGAGGAATTTGGAAGCTTAAACTGTCCGGTTACGTACGAGAGCTAATTCAACGGTTTACGCCTCCGACGAGATTGTAGTACGCGCGTGGCTTTTGTGCAAGTGGTCGAAGACGTGTGAGAGGAAGAATCGCAGAAGATGCGAGGAAAACAACTTGGAGTCGGGATGGATGGATGGATGCGAATTTCATCATCGACTCTGCCGACATTGGGCCAAATTGGAGCCCAAAAGTTATGGGTGTTCATGTGCTTGTTTGATCAAAAAACACTCAGAGCATTTTCAAATATGATGTCAAATTAAATTATTATGTTAGTTTTTTTAATTAGTATTTTATGTAAAGTTGAATAGAATTTAATATTAAATGATTTATATATTTTAGGGAAAACTTGATATAACTTCAATTTTTTTAGTCAATAGTAGGAATAGTTCAATTTATTAAAATAGGTCCAATTCCTTAAATTTAATTATTTAATTATTAATAATTATCTATTCAATGGTAAGATTTATTATAAAAATCAAATTTCTTCATAATTATCTCTTTGATTATTTCTTTTTATTTTTTTTTTATTATTTCTTGTTCTTCCTCCTGGTTTAAACCCCATTTATAGATTTTATTTTTAATTTTTATAATCAACCTATATCACAGGTTAATTATTTTTATGTATCTATATGACAGATTCTTTTTTATAATCAACTTGTTACAAATTAATGTGTCTTGCTTATAAGTATATTATGTTTTTTTTCCTACCTTTTAGTTATGTTTCATATCTCGCTTATAGGTATAAATATATATATTTGTTACTTGAGTTAAGGTATAATGTTTTGTAATTAATTTATGTTAGTATATTAGTTTTTGTTGTTGTAAGATATTAATTAGATTTTTTGGAGTAGAAAAATGCATAATATTAGAAGATTTTTAATTGATTTTTAATATTTAAAAAAAATATAAAATGAGTATAAAAGAAATAAAAACATGTAATTAGATAACTGGACTCATTCCTAAAAACCATCTATGTTTTTGGACCTAGATCTAAAAGCCCCTATATTTTATTATGTAATGACAATTTCAACCTTATAAGGTTTTTTTTAAAAAATGAAAAACTCTAAATACATCCCAAATCACTTTGAACGTGCATATCCTAAGATTATTTATCTTCTCCAACTCTCAAAACCACTCTCACCTCCATTGTAGAACAAAACTATAACCAATGAAACTACAAACACTTTGATTGAGAAAAATTATTTATGATGAATGTAACATAAAATCGATGTTTCGAAAGTTTCACATAAGGTAAAACTTTATATTTTTCATTGTTTTAGTGATTTCAACGACATTGGCACATCTTGGAGGTCCACCAAGTATACCTTAGTTGCGACTTCTTTCAACTATGTTGAGATTATCGCTATGCATGAAGCTACTTGTGAATGCTTTTGGTTGAGATGAGTAATGGAATATTTGAAGCATAAGGAGATGAGCATCTTCTATGTGACCAACTAGTGATCTCTACGTATCCCTGGAAAACCTAAAGTCCCATCATTTAACAAGTAACCTACGGTTTCTGGAAGATCCTAGGGAACCTAAAGTCGCTGCCAATTCAATGAGTAGCCTATGGTTTCTGGAAGACTACGGTACACCCTTCGAGCAGTTAGTCGCATAAACCTATACAACCACACAATCTTGTGAAAGTTTAATAGGTTAACATGAACATGCACTGCCTAGCGTAGAACAACCCCTTGGGTTTACATTGATTTCTAAAGTGCTATGCTACTTGCTACGTAGCCTATGGAATTGGTTACATAAAGTGCAAAGAGTTCTTTCAAACCACTACCCACGAAATTCCATAGAACCACGCATTTTTTATGTGAAAGTGTTTGGACCCAAATTTACACCATCGGCCCGTGCAATCAAAGCCATTGAGTGAGCATAACTCTCAACTGTAGGATGGCAAAATGATTAAAATAATTATTATTGAAGGACATATTGTGGTTTTAATCATGATATTATGTTTTAATAATATATCAATTTATTTGGGCTGAATATGATCAATATCTTGGCGTTTGTTTAGAAATGGGTTTCTCTGCATAGGATAATATTAAATAAGAATGGTTATATAATAACCAATGGTCAAAAGAAGAAATGCGATTCTTTAGTCAACACATGCATATACGTGGAGGGTTGGGAGACTACTTCCCATGTATTATGTGCTGTAAGTTTGGTGATGATTATCTCCAAAAAAGTAACCAACCACGATAGTGCATGTGGATTGGTGGCTGCTTAGATAGACATTATTTGATCAAATCCAAGCATGCAGGCTATCTTGGGATTCGATGTGATAAGGCTAAGCACAAGGATTGAATTTGGTTGTATTTTTGACTAAGTTCAGAGTTCTGGGAGTAGTAAGACTTATCTGAGGCTTAAATCAGTGGAAGAGTTCTAATAGCATGGTAGAGCCTATATCAGCTTATCAACCAACGCACACTCGTCTTTATAAATATAAGAAACCGTGCATCATTCGGGCACCCTCTAATTCAACACACAAACTGCCATGCGCAAATTCTCACCCTATGCGAAACCTCTTAACAACCTTGAGATTTTTATTTTCTTCTTTCCGCCAACACATCTTCAGTTTGGATAAACAACACTGTGAAGGCAACCAGCAACATCTTCAGTTTTGATAAACAGCATTGGAGCCGTATAATCAGTCGGTCAAGGAGCACCTTTAGTTTGGATAAACAACACTGCTTTTCGACTAATTGATTACATATCCAAGTCTCGATCGACAAGGATTTTTGAGTCCTTGTTGGTAGAGGTCATCTTATTAGCCTTCTCGGCGAAGTAAGATGTTACTAGGTTACAACATTCGATACATTGAAAGCCGAATCTGATATTGAACTTCGCAAAACTAGCAGCCTTATCTTCAGGCTCTAGAACATGAATGCCAAGACGTGTTTCTTCCTCGGCCGTAATCGTAAGACCAAGAAGTTAGCAGCGCGCTCAACACAACATATACACATTTTACTCCTCAGCTGACGAGTTGACACACCCTGCACACAACCGAAGGACGTAGTTAGCTTATTAATTACTTGGTCGGTGTGCCACGTAAGCTTGGTAGTTTTTAGGGTCAACATTTTGGCACGCCTGGTGGGACTTAGTGCTAAAACTACGAAGTTCATATGATATATCAAGATTCCGATCCGGCTCCACGTAGCCAATTGTATGAGCTCTTAGAGCAATTGGAAAAACACAATGATGAACGTAAAAGATCTTCGGAAGTGGAAAAAGTTCTTTGTGGATATAGAGAGATGCAAAAGTCATTCGCTTACATGTTGAGAATACAAGCTCCTGTTACCCTTCAAGACCAATGGGTAAATGACGACAGAGCTCGATTTAATGTCTGGCTAGATGGAGAACATTTTCCTTATGTTTTCGACTACAAATCAATTCCATTTGACGAATGGTTGGTTGAAAAGACCGGAGGGGGGCAATTTTTCGCTTTAGCCACAATCAAAATTCAGCCTAAGAAAATTGTCAAGACTATTGAAGAAAAACCTAGGCCACCTGTTTGTTCGGTCAAGATTGAAAGTGTGGTAGGCCTAGAAGAACAAGTTCAAGTTTCTGAGCCAAAAATTGACTCAGAAAATGATTTTTCAGATAAGTGTTCAAATGACGAACAAGACCGATACACGACTTCAGACCATAAAACCACATCAATTGATATGGTAATTGGAGACATGGTCTTAGAAACCGAAACTACGCCCATGGATATGATTATTGGTGATTAAGCCGATATGGAGAAATCCTGTTTGGCTAAGTTATTCGAGTTAAAAGTCGAAATTAATGAAGTAATTATGCCTAGGGGGCATAATAATTGTCCAACACATTTGGCGGCCAATGGTAAAAAATCTTTCGTCAAGCCAAATATATTTGGGGATGAACTTTTATTCGGCTTTGGAAAAACTCAAGGTGAAAACTTTGATGTTAAAATATCTCGGCTCGGAATAAAACATCGTTGGCTTCCTCTTAATTATGATATGCAATATTTTCTTAACCATTCGGCTTTCAAGCCGATACTTCAGAAAATAGGGGGTAACGAGCGGTATACTCCAGTTGATGGAATCAAAAGGAAAAAGGCCACCCTTATTAGATGGTAGGCCTTCATGTGGCTCTAATATTTCTATGGGGTGAATGGCATTTGCAGAAAGTTAAAAAAAAATTAGGCCAAAATTAGGCCATTTTTTGGTGGTCATTCGGTGCATACATACAACATCTTTCCTTGGTATAAAGGAAGCCGACCATAATGAATTAGCAAGTGAGACATATTATATCCATATTATTTTGTCTTCTATGGAGAATATGGGTTGTTTCTCGATTTTATGTGGAGTCTTCTTTCATTCCATTGATGGGAATTGCCTCCTTGTTACTTGGTGAGAGTCAACAACAAAAAAGAGATGTGCTCAGAGTACAAATATAGTACCAAGCTGAGAGGACGACTGAGCACTAGTCTCTGCAAATTAGATTTTGCGTCGGAAATTGACTCAAGATAGAAACAAGAAAAGAGAATATGGTTCTGCTAAGGCTAGAGCGGTATGCCCACCGACAACATGATTGGATTATGAATGATACTGTCGAGCTCGACGACGATTCTTGACAATGACTTGGAGATGTCAAATGTCCTTAATGATAACACACCTCGGTTTACAACTTGAGCTCGGTGGTATCAGTTCTTTTCTGAGTTTGGATAGGCTATGAGCCGAGTTTGGCAGTATTAACCCATTCGGTGGCTTCAGTACCGATCTTAACGCTCGTCCTGGATGGTGTTGATTCCAATGTATCCTTTGAGCACAATGAGAAGTGGTGGGCAAGAGACTCCAACTGCTGTCACCAAATGTCTCCTCAGTGATGGAATTGTCGAGGGTGGCTTAGTTTTTTCATTTGGCTGAGTTACCAAGAATCAGATTTTTCTCAGCCTCATATGCTTTTAGGTTTTGACTGAATGAGATGAATGGTCGAAGTAATTACAGGGTTTAGCTACCAAGAATGGTTTTTCTCGGCTTGTTTTTTCTCGACCTCTTTTTCAAGTCAT